CCTGGTGATGGGTATTGAGGAGGGCACGTTTTGCATGGAGCACTGGGTGTTATGAACAAACAATGAATCATGGAACACTACATCAAAAACTAATGATGTAATATATGGTGATTAACATAACAATAAAAAATTAAAAAGAAAAAAACACAGGACTTTCTTGTGTAACTGAGTCACTTCCCTCTCTCCATAACCTGCACTTTGTCAGTCCTCCTAACCCCCGTCAGGGGCGCCATCCCCTCCCAGCCCGCAGCTTCCAGGCTACCTCTGCCCCACCCACGGCACCTGCTCACCGGCCAAGGCCAAGTCCACCTCCACGTGAACTCTCTGCCCTTCCGACTCCCATCGCTCTGTCGCACTGGGGTCAAGTCCATCCTCTCTTCACCTGCGATGCCACAGTGACGTCCTAATTCCAGGTCCACAAGTTTATGCTCCTATCCGTCCTCCCCACGGCTGCCACCGGCCGTTTTCCTAAAACTCAGATCAGGCAATGCCACTTTCTCCCCCAAAAAGCTTCTGAGCGCTTCCATTTCCTGCAGAATACGTTCATTCCAACTTCCCCAGCAGAGACTTTCGGACCCTCCACCCCTGGTCCCTCTGCTGTCTGTCAAGCCCAAGTCCATTCGCCTCCCTCCGAGGACCCTGCATCCAGTCTGGCTGAACCAGGGCCCTTCCCCAGCACACCGAGTGGTCTCACCTCCGAGCCTGTGCCTACGTTAGCCCCCCAGCCTGCAGACTTCGCTCCCAACCTGCAGACTTCATTCCCCAACCTGCAGACTTCACTCCCCAACCTGCAGACTTCGCAGCGCCCCCAACCTGCAGACTTCACTCTGCATCCTGCAGACTTTGTCTACCAGCCTGCAGACTTTGCCGTACCCCCAGCCTGCAGACTTCGTCCCCAACCTGCAGAGTCAGCAGTGCCCCTCTGCCAGTCTAACTTACACGCTTATTTCTCTGCACGCCTGCGTGTATTCCTCACATCCGCTAAGAACCTACTTCCCTCTGCCACCAGCATGCACGCTCCTTGAAGATAAAGATTCTATCTCACATCCACGCTGGGATCCCCTGCAATGCCTGGCATGGGGCGTGTCTCCCGTGTTTGCTAGATGAAGGAGTGCGTGCTCCCGCCGTGACAAATGCAGGCTACGTTTTACGGTAAAATAACAGTGAGGAGATGTTTGCAGGACAGAAACTCGGGGAGCAAGGGGTCAGGGGTGGTCGATTCACCTGCACAACTGCCTTCTTTACTTTGGTTCCCCCTTCCTACGTCCTAGGTCCAGACAGTGACCGTATTTTACTAAAAGCCCAAATCACGTGACCTGATGCATAGTCTTGACAGAGAATAGAATATTCAAAATCAGAACTGTCCCAGAAAATCCAGCCCATCTGGCAGGTGCTTTTTTATTAAGATACAATTCGGGGGTCCCTGGGTGGCTCAGTCTGTTGAGTGTCTGACTTGGTTTTGGCTCAGGTTGTGATCTCAGGGTCATGAGATACAGCCCTGGGTCAGGCTCCATGCTGGGGGCAGAACCTGCTTGGATTCTCTCTCTGCCCCCCTCTCTACCTCTCTAGGATAAATAAATAAATCTTTTTTCCAAAAAAAAATATGTAAGTCACATACCAGAAAATTCACCTTCTTAAAGTTTACAACGCAGGGATTGTTAGCATGTTCATAGAGTTGTCCACTGTCAGCTGTATCTAGTTCAGAACACAGTCACAACCGAAGAAGACCCATCCCCATCAGCC